GAGGCCGACTCCAGATCAGCACAAGGGCTTCCCAAAAGCCCAAGTGATCCCAAACATGGCTACACAGGGTATGCTGCTTCACCAGGTGGAGAGCACCCTGTCACAGGGGTCTGTAAGCAGGTTAGGGATTCTGCAGAGAGGTCTCAGCTGGGTCTAAGTTTCCCTGGCCCAAGGATTGAGGGGTCCATGCATAAGCAGATAAATGTGGGGTGATTTGTAGTTTTTCTAAGATGGCCCAGGGTAGGTGTCAGAGGGAGAGATTCAAGAAGGTAAAGGTGGACTTTTATTTTTAAAAGAACAAAAGCATGTTGAATGTGGTTAGATGAGCTACACTGGGGTCAGCTAGGCTGACAGGAGCTTGAGATTAGACATGAGTTTCCAGAGGCATATGGGTGGCTCAGCTGATTAAGCATCTCTAGACCCTGGTTTAGATCACGATCTCACGGTTTATGAGTTCAAACCCCGCATCGGGCTCTGCGTTAACAGTGCAGAGCCTGCTTGGGATTCTCTCTCTCCCTTTCAAAATAAATAAACTTAAATAAATAAATTTATAAAAAAGAAATGAGTTTCCAGAGGACTCCACTTCTCCACTGAGCCCAGTCTGACCACCTCCCCGGGGCCTTCAGGGGCCTTCACCCAAGCAGCCAAGCAGTAGAGTCCCCTGGTTGGCAGGGGCCCTGAGATGTCTTGGCCCCTCAGCCTATGGCCAGCAGTCACCCTGAGCCTTTCAGGGGCCCTGACAGAGCCCTGTGAACTTTCAGAGCTTCTCAGGGATCCCACATAACCAGGTATGGGGGGCAACACTAGCACCAGAAGAGGACCTACCATGTGTGCGGGTGGGGAGACGGTGGCGGGTGGGGGGGGCATAGGGAAACACTTATCTTAGTAATACTGACCACAGGGTGCTGTTGTTTGAGGAAAGCAAGAATGAGAGAGGTTATGTAACTTGTCCAGGCCCAATCAGCAATTGTGTGGGCGGGCCTGGCTTTCAACCAAAGTCTGTCTGGTTTGAAAGCTTTGTTCTTTTAAATAAGCCTCCTCAGATTATCAGGAAGGAAAGGTCTTGGCTACCACACTCCCCTCCCCCAGTCTGTGAAGTCCTGCCCACTTCCCTTATGCATTCGCAAGTCTTAAAGGAGTAGCTCGACCCCCACTTCTTCCTACTGCTTTATGAAACCAAAACGTGTAGAAAGATTAGAAAAGGGAAGGGACAGGGAGTGAACACAAGTCCAGGCAGAAGCCTGCGGGTGGGAATGGGCCCCTGAGGTTTAGAAGACTGGAAGTCTAACGCACAGAGCTCTAAGTGGTCACGGTGAGATCTGAGTGAGGCTGGAGCAGGTGTCTGAAGAGGTAGCCTAAGGCCAGCTGGAGGAGAGACTCATGAGCAGGTGTGGGACCTTCCCAGGAGGTAAAGGGAAGCTTCGCCAGGTTCTGAGTTCAGGGGATGGGAGCTGGGTGGGATGCAGACAGGTAGAGGTCAGTGCTCTAAATCCATTATCACCTCTAATCCTCAGCACCCCCTGGAATGTCAGGCCTGTGCTATTCTTATCGCCCCCTGTTACAGATGAGCACCTGAGGCTCAGCAAGTGGATGATTGCTCAGGTCACACAGTCCCTCTGCACTGGCCCCACCAAGCTGGTGTGGCAGTGGGGACTCCCTAGATCTAGCACTGGGTGGAGTAGAAAGCAGATGCCAGTGGCCGAGGGTGAGGGAAGCAGTGGGATGCAGAGGATGGTTAATGGAGAAGAGGAGAGAACTGAGCCACCCCAGACATTGAGCCCTGGAGGAGACTGACCCCTTCGGCAAGGAGAGGCACCGTCCATTCCTTGTCCATAGCCAGCCACACAGGGCTCCTCGCCACATAGTTTGTGGGTGACCAGCCAGAGACTAGAGGCCAGCACTGATGGTCCACCTACTTACCCTGCACATCCCGTTCCCCTAGTTTCACCCCTCCTACACACCTACACCTGCCAGGGGATACCCTACAGAACACCACCCCAGGAGGAAGCCCAGGCAGTGGGATGTGGGCAGAGCTCAGGCATTGGGTTCTAGTCCTGGCCAGTTCCATGAAACAGGCAGTGCGACCTTGGGCAAGTCACTTAACATCCTGAGCACAGAGCCCCTCCTGTGTAAAATGAATGTGAACATATTGCCCACCTCTGGGCTCTAGGACTAAATGAAATAATACATGGAGGAGCCCAGCAATGGGCACCCTGACACTTAATGAGCTCCTGGAAAATGGTGGCCATGGTGATGAATACATATGAAGTCAAAGAAAGGAAATAAAAAAGGAAAGCTAGGTGTGAATCTTAGCTGTGATACTTATTTGGACTGGTTGCCTCTAATATCTCAGACTCAATTGTTTTTATTTGTAAAGTGGGATGAACACTTGCACTTTGTGCCCTCACAGGGCTGATGTGGGGTGTCTTTCTTTGTGGCCGTGAACTGCTCCTCCTTTGGGCTTGAGACTTGCTCAAGACACAGAGATGAGGGGCGCCTGGGTGGCGCAGTCGGTTAAGCGGCCGACTTCAGCCAGGTCACGATCTCGCGGTCCGTGAGTTCGAGCCCCGCGTCAGGCTCTGGGCTGATGGCTCAGAGCCTGGAGCCTGTTTCTGATTCTGTGTCTCCCTCTCTCTCTGCCCCTCCCCCGTTCAAGCTCTGTCTCTCTCTGTCCCCAAAAAAATAAATAAAAAAAA